AGGATAGGGTTTTGAAGGAGAGCTAAAAGCAGACATGTGGCAAAGGGAAAGAGGAGGCACCCCACTGCCTATTTTTCATAGCTGCATAAATTAGTAGTTTAAATTATTTCTTGGGGACCCGTCGTGCTGATCTCCTTGTTAGAGTTATAATTCCAGTGCCTCCCTTCAGGGAGTCCCCTGTCTGATGACCCAGCATCTGGAGACTTGGGGGCAGTCAGGCTTGATTGGGACACACACTCACACTTTCCCACCTCAAGCCAGTGCAGGGGCCCCCAGGTGCCTGCTCCCAGGTCCTGCTTCTCCGTGGAGTTTTCTTGATGGGTTATGGACGTGTATACTTCTGAAAAGCTGTGGCAGACCCCACAGCAGCTTCTCTGTTTATGCTGTGGTTCCAGAAGTGTCTTATCTTCATTTTTAAGGGATCTTCACTTGGCATTCCTTCCCAGAGATTCAGCTTTCATGTTTTTTCCGGTCCTCAGCCTGGTGGGGTCCAGCCCAGAATTTGTAGAGCAGGGATTCCCAAGGAGAGCTCATGTGAAGGAACCATGGAGCAGAGCCTTTCATGATGGGGGTGATAGCACTTCTCACAGCCTGCCTTGATGTTTCCATTAGGAATGTGTTGGGGTGCACAAAATGGGAAATCTCACAAACAGCGGGGTTTATTTTTCTCCTGTTATAAGAAATCCTGGCCCAAATGGTGCCATCAGGGGTCCAGCCTCTTCTGTCTTTCTGCTCCCATTCTCAGTTTGTGTCTTCATTCTTGTGTTCACAAAATGGCTGCCGTGCCTCGGGATGTCACATCTGTGTTCCTTGCAGGAAGAGGGAAGGGCAAAAGGGAAGAGTTAGTGCCAGCGTACTATACTATGACCTTTTACTATAAAGAAAACAGGGGAGAGGCACCTGGGTGGCTCAGTCAGTTAAGGTCCGACTCTTGATTTCTTTCGGTTCAGGTCATGATCGCAGGGTCGTGAGATCAAGCCCCGCATTGGGTTCCACGCTGGACATGGAGCCTGCTAGGGATTCTGTCTCTCACTCTGTCCCTCCCCCTCACTCTCCCACCCCCAGCCCTCCAGCAGTCTCTCAAAAAAAAAAAAAAAAAGAGGGCCACCTGGGTGGCTCAGATGGTTGGGTGTCTGCCTTCGGCTCAGGTCATGATCTCCAGGTTCTGGGATCGAGCCCCATATCGGGCTCCTTGCTCGGCGGGGAGCCTGCCTCTCCCCCTGCGTGTGCTCGCTCTGTCTCTCTCAATCTTTCAAATGAATAAATAAAATCTTTTAAAAAAATTTAAAAAATAAAAGACAACGAGGGATTTGCCATAGACACCTGTGTACATCTTAGTGGCCAAAATTAGACACATGCCCCCTCTAGCTGCAGGGGAGCTTGGGATGTTGAGTTTTTTAGCTGGGCACAAACAAAATTGGGGTTCTCTTGGTAAGGAGCAGGGTGGATGGAGTCTAGTGTCATCCACGTGTGTAGGGGTTTGTCTTCTCCGTCACACTGTCGACCGCCCAAGAGGTAGGGACCATGTCTCGTTCATCCTGTCCCCCCGACAGCAGCAGGCATGGAGACTGGCACACAGAAGGGGCTTAGTCAGCAGTTCGGGGGGGCTCTCCGTTTCCTCTTAGGGAGGAGCTACTAATCTGAAGGCAGAAGACCACCCCTTGCTCTCAGGAGCCCCCAGTCAGATGGGGGCGGTGTAGCCCCCTGCCCCACCACTGAGGCCACCGACCCACACAGACACACGCATACCCACCCCTCTGCTGAAGGACAGAACGGGGGTCCATGCAGCTGCACGCGCAGATGGTGCAGGATGGACCAGTGAGGGATCCGTGGCAAGAGGCCGCCATGTCGCCCCTCTCCAAGGCCGTGTGGCAAACGTGAAGAGAGGCCCAGCAGTGCTGTGGAGGAAAGGGGCGGCATTCCTTCCCGGAGCCTCCAGTTGCCAAGAGCAAAGTCTAGAATTTTGTGTTTGTCCGGACAAGGCTAATGAAGGAGGCAAATCAGAGCCTAAGGGGGATTAATTTCCAACCAAAAGGCAGAGGCACGGCTTTCCCTGCCAGCTGAAGGGCAGAGGCATGCTCCCCAGGAGGATCCATGACACCTGCTCAGCAGCAGCTGCTCCTCTGGGGTGGAGGGTCACACCCGAGGCTCCCCTGGGAGCCGCAGTGATGACTTGGCTCAGGTCAGCTGCCCCCCGCCCCTGCCCCCAGCCCCTAGGAACCACCCCCCCCACCCCGCCCTGCAACAGTCTGAAACCCGCCTGAGTCAGGTGCCAGGTCAAACCGCGTTCTGCCATTTATTGGCCGTGTGGCCTCAGTTTCCTCCCCTATAAAATGGGATGTTCAAAATACCCACCCACCCACCTCTGTCACCGAGTGCGGCTAGGATCCAGGATCTAATGACAATGCAAACGGAAACAGCCGAGTTCTCAGTGGCAGCTGGCGCCTGGGCTCTCCTGTGAGATTCCTTCTGACCCACTTACGTCTTCAGATGTTGGGTTTTCTTAAAGTGAAGCTCACCGGGAACACAGTCACACCATGTTAGGGTATAGGGCCCGAAACTGGCCCAGCCCTGCCTGCCTCCCACCCGTCCCCGCGGTCACTCCCTGCTTGACAGGAGGACAACACATGAGCTCTCTCTCCGTGCCCTCCACTGTCCCTGTCCTGTGGAGTCGCAGCCCCCCGGCCTGGAGGTCCGGCCCTGCTGAGCTCGCCTGCTGCTCCTCCACGCTGCCGTGAGGAGGACACACAATGTGTCCAGCCGCAGGAAGGGCACGGTGAAAGCTGGAACGTAAAGGGCTGCCCAAGACCCAGGGTCCCCACTGCATAGGTCGCCCCATGGTCCCAGCTGACCTACCTCTACCCTGTTCTCCCCAGGTTTCAGGGAGGGGGGAAGGCAGAGGGCAGGAGAATGAAGGAGGTCCCCTCGGGGCCAAAAGGACATCAGCTTCTGTCAGACACCAGGCCGGGAGCCCAGGGTACTCGGTCCTTAGGTCATGCCTGGTGGCTCCAGCTCTCCTCTCGGCAGCCTGAGTTTGCAGGGTTGGATGTCCAGGACAAGAGGGGGTGGCACAGCCATCACCCGTCCCGTATCACTGCCCTCAGCTCGCCCTGGGGCCAGGACCCCATTTGGACATTCACTGTAAGGTCAGCATAATGTAGGGTCAGCTCTGTGGGCTTTGGGGTCGGACACGGCTGTGTGACTTCGGGAAAATGACCTAACTACTCTGTGCCTTCTCACACTAAAGGCTTCCTCAGTGTTCTCTCCAGGGAGGAAACAGAGTTCTGGGGCCTCTGGGGAAAGGCAGTGAAACCCACCCTGCAGCCAGGGCCTGCCCTGAGCTCAGCAGCTCCAATTGCCAAAGAGCCAGTGGAGAGAGGGCACGAGGAGAGTCTGCAGGGAGCCAGGCAGCTGCTTGGGACTCGTGGCCCTTTGTGTGTGTGTGTGTGTGTGTGCACGCGCGCATGTGTGACAGAGTGAGAGAGAGAACGCTTTATTAAGATATAGTTCACATGTCATAAATTCACCCATTTACAATGTATAATTCAGTGGTTTTTAGTATATTCACAGATCGTTACATCCGCCACCACAGTCAGTATTAGGACATTTTCATCACGTCAGAAGGAAACCCCATGCCCTCCAGCCACCACCCCTCCATCCACGCGTCCCCACCAGCTACCACCCCCACCCCTCGGCCACCACGAGTCTACTTCCTGTCTCCACAGACTTCCTTACTGTGGACGGTTCATAAAGTCTGCGGAATCACACCATACATGACTGGCTCCTTTCTTGTAGCATGATGTGTCATCCATGGTGTAGCCTAATGCAGTACTTCTTTTTATTGCCAAATAATGTTCCCTCGTATGGATACACCACATTGTGTTTTTAATTCATTCATCAGTTGATGGACATTTGGGCGATTTTTCACCTTTTGGATTCTGTGACCCATGTTGCTGTACACGTTTGTGTCTGTGTGTTTGTGTGGACGTATGTTTTCATTTCCAATGGGTGTGTGCCAGGGCGGTGATTGCTGGATCACAAGGTAACTTGATACTGAATCACTTGGGGAACTCTCAGGCTCTCTTCCAACATTCCATCCATCCCCAGTGTGTGATGTGTCCCAGTTTCCCCACATCTGTGCCAACACTTGAGTCTATCTTATTTATTTTGGCCACTCTAGTGAGTGTGAAGTGGTATCTCGTTGGGGTTTTGATTGGCATTTCCCCTGTTGACGAATGATGTCAAGCTCCTTTTCGTGTACTCATTGACCATTTCTTGGAGAAATGTCTATTCAGATGGTTTGCCTATTTTTTACTTGGGTTGCCTTTTTATTATTGGGTTGTAAGAGCTCTTTGTATATTCTACATGTCAGCCCCTTATCAGATAAGACTGTTTGCAAGTATTTTCTCCCATTCCCTGAGTTGTCTTTTTACTTCCTTGGTGGTGGCCTTGGAAGCACAGCAGGGTTCCATGTTGATGGAGTGTGATGCATCTGTATTTGTACCGCTATGCATACTTTTGGTGTCGTATCTTGCTGCGTGTTTTTAATCAAGTGCTTCTCCTATGGAGGGAACGAACCAGATGATGGACTGTTGTGCTGGGCTGAGTGGTCCTGGGGCTCAGAGTGCACCATGGGGGCTCATTCAGTAGGGAGTCGGGCACCATCAGCTTCCTGGGCCGTGGACGTGGGTGCTCACCAGCCCCCAGCTCCCTCTCCCTGGAGATGTCTTCAGTTCAGGGCTCAGAGGGATGCTCAGTCTAGGACTTGCTGCCCTGACTGGATCAATAAAACTGAGAAGTGAGAACAGGGACTGTAGAGACAGGCGAACCTGCGTTCAAGTCCTGGGAATGCCACTAAGTGACCTGGGCACGTGGGAGAGAAACGTCATCTTTCTACACCCCGTTTTCTCATCTCTTAAAAGGATAGAGGCAGGGTCCCAGCATCTGGGACCATCGAACAGCCGGGGTCTCGGGCACTAACTCACTCCCCTGCCCCGCAGCCATGAAGGCCGACCGGAAGCGCCTGAAGGGCGAGAAGACGGACCTGGTGAGCCAGATGCAGCAGCTGTACGCCACGCTGGAGAGCCGCGAGGATCAACTGCGCGACTTCATCCGCAACTACGAGCAGCACCGCAAGGTGGGGGCAGGCGCCTCCCTACCCCTTCCTCTCCCCGCCCCCTGCTTCCGCCCCTCCCCCATCCCAGACACCAGCTTCCTCCCCTCCCCCTGCCTCCCCCAGATACCAGCTCCCCCTCCTCCCCTTCCTGCTCCCTCAACCCTCTTTCCTTCCTCTTCTCCCCTCCCCTGCTCCCTCTCCTCCCCCCAGACACCAGCTCCCTCCCCCCTTGACCCTCTCTGCAGACACCAGCACCCCTACCTCCCCACTGCCTGCAGGATACCTTCTCTGCCATCATGAGGTCTGGCTTCACTAATCCCCAAACACACACTCACTGCCCGTGTCACCTGCTCACCTGAGGACTCGGGCTTGGCTATGGAGATGAAATGGGCATAGCCCCTAGCTGGGGGTCCCCATGCCTCCTGGGCAAATAAGGCTGGACAGGACAGCCCAGTTGGTGACAGTGTACACAGTGGATTCTGGCTGGCCTGGGTTTAGATCCCAGCCCCCAAGGTATGTGCCCTAGGGCATCTTACTCACCTTGGAGAGCCTCAGACCTTGGAGAGGTATGAAGAACACTGGATGAGGTGATCCATGTGGCATCTGGCATGTACTGAGGGCTTGGTAAATATTAGCTATGCGTTTTATTAATAATACCATAATAACAGTGTGCAGAGAGACCTGGGAGCCCTGGTGAGAGAGCAGGAAATTCTGCCTACAGGGAAAGAGTCTTGGAAGGCTTTACGGAGGAGGTGACATATGAGTTGGGCCCTGCGGGGTGAGTAGGACTTTAGTCAAGCAAATGAGTTATTTCCACTTTTGATGTTTACCGAGCAACCCCAGGCTGACCACAGAGAAGAGGTCCTGGCCGCCCCCACCCATGAGGCGTGGGTGGTTGCTGGGCATTTCAGTGGCTCTGTGGCCTTCCTGGGCCTTAAGAGCAAACACTTCTGTCTTGCAGTGGGTCATCAAATTTGTTTTTATAATTGGGCTCCTACTTGAAAATAAAATTTCCATGGAGATCCACCTCCTCCCCTGGACCATGCCCTTTTTTTTAAGTCCAGGTAACTGGGGGCCCCCCTGCTAAGTCCATCCAGCAGTTGGGGGTAGGGTTGAAGCTGCTACAGCCATGGGCAGCCATAGACAGCCACAGCTCAGCATCAGATGTCACTCTTACGGAATGACTTCACAAGACCCTTCAGATTTGTTTCCAGAAAAATGGGATTTAGAAAACATGAATGTTTTTGTTAAATTACTGTCTTAAGCCTTGTTGTCATGTGGAGCAAGTTGCTCTTACACTTCCAGCGTATCAGTGGAGTAGCAACATTGTGATAGTCTTTAACCCTTGTTGGGTGCAACCCCATTTTACAGATGGGAAGACTGAGGCCATGAAGGGTCCAGGGACAGACCCAAAGCCACATATTTAGAGCTGGTTTGGAGAAGCTAAAACCACAAGTCCTGATTTTATTCTGTCTCTTCCAAGATCTTGCAACTGGTTAAAAAAAAAAAATGACTTGCCTTTTATGCATAAAATAAGTGTCCCTGTGAACAGGATGAAGGGAACCCTCAGGTGCCCCCCACCCTCCTTGGTCCTGCCACTTCACCTGCCCCAGCTCACCCAGCTCCTCCTGGGCACCCCCACAGGCCTTGTCTGGAGCAGGGAGCAAGACCCCAGTTCTCTGAGCTCCTAGGGTCAGCACAGGCATAGGCTGCTGAGAAATGAGGGGTTCGGGGCCTGCCCAGAAAGTTCACAGAATTGCAACATCCCAGAAAGTTGTGCCTAATGCATGTTCACATGGGTGCAGTTCCAAGGCGGATTTGGGACTCTCCATAAATCAGCTGAAGAAGTTCTCACAGTAAGCCGGGCAGCCAGGCGGGGGGCCAAGGACCATCTTGGGTGGTGAGGCTGCTGTCACAAAGGGCCACCTTCATCCTGCCCTCCTCACCTCCCCAGCCAGGCCTGTGTCCCCCTGCCGCCCCCTCCTCACTGCACCCCTCCTCCTTCTGTCCAGTGAGCCCCAGGTGCCAGTAGAGGGACCCCACTCCCAGCTTAGCATCTGAGGCCCGGCACAGTGGGCCGAATCCTCCCCTCATAAATCCCGGCCACCGTGACCCACATGTGGGTCCAGCCTCCCTGGCCAGTCTCCTTTCTGTTGCTTTCCTACCTCAGTTACCAGCAAAGATTGAGACCTCTACCACACTGTCTGAGGGGCTGGGGAACTTATTTCTCTGGCCCCGATGCACTCATCTGTGAAACGGGGATCACCACAGTCCCCCACCTCACGGGTGGTTGCGAGCTTTAAATATAATTGCCTAAAACGCTGAGGCACCATACTCAGCGTGTGTTCAGAACATTTCATGTCAGTTGCTGCCGAGCCCGCTGTCCTGCTGCCAGGGAATATGATCATGGGAGGGGGCATCACAGTCTTCACCTAGTCGAAAAAGCACCTACCTATGGGCTTTCCCTCTGGTCTGCTCAAGACCAGTGCAGTCAGTGACTGCAAACAGACACAGAGACAAAGATGATCCTGAGGGTCCTAGGGGACCTTCCTCCTAATGCAAAAATGTTTTGTAAGCAGCCTCTTGCACACCAGCCAGTTCTAAGGGACGGTCCTTACCCAGTTACTCAGTTCCACACACTTCATTTCCCGGGGCCCTTCTGTGATCCAGGCTTGTGGCTGGGTGCTGGGGGCAGATGCCCAGGACATGGCTCAGCCCCCAGGGTAGGAGCTCCCCATCCGCGTGCATACTGGGGGCCCTGCCTGTCCCCTGTTGCCCTGACCCCACCTGAACCCAGCTCCACAGAGAAAGAACTGACCAGCAGCGGCATGCCTTCCTGCACTGAGAGTCGTGCTTCCAGAGTCTCAGAGTACAGCTCCACCTGAGATTGGGTGATGGTACCATCTGTCGCTGTATATCTTGCATGGCCGGTTTCTGCAGAGCATCCGTCACCCTGGGAGGTGGTACTGTCGCTGTCTCACAAATGAGGTGGTCGATCGAGGTTTGGGGAAATTGAACAACTCAGCCAGTGCCCTGCAGCAAAGACTCAAACCCAGGCATCCTGAGCCCAAAGAGCAGGGGCCAGCGGCACGTCCTAGAAGGGACCGTGCCCTGCACCTGCTCTAGGCTGCACTGAAGCTGGAGGGGAGGGGCTGCTCACACCGGCCCAGGAGCCATGGCGTGATGGCCTTCACGGCCAGCCCCCTGCAGCCGAGTGCGCCTGATCGTGTAGCAGCAATGTCTGTCACCCGCTGCTGTGTGCAGGCTGTCCCCGCTGGGACCCAGGTATGTGCCCACACACCAAAGTGGCACATCCCTGCTCTCAGGACGCGTGCCGGAGGGCTCTGCTCCAGGGGCTCCGCGGATGCAGGCATTTCTGTGTGGCTCGTGCCTGCCCACGGCATCTGTGAATATGGGTTCAGTGGCCAGCGTCAGGTGGCAGAACAGAGAGCCCAGGGCTGCTCTCGGGTGGTCCCAGAAGGCTGCTCAGAGAGGACCTCCGAGCAGGCACCGCTGTGTGCCCACGCCATGCTGAGCTCGCCACGTGGATTATCTCATTCCATCCTCAAAATAACACCCTGAAGTCCCTGCATATTATCTCTGGGTTACAGACAAGGGCGCAGAGGCCCAATAGTCATTGCCGCTTGTCCTTGCAGAGCCAGGATTTGACCCACACTCCCTCTCCCCAGACCATAAGCCGTAGCCTCAGCCCGGTGACAGCCCCAGAGAAAGGGCCAGCCCTCGGCCTCCCTGGCTCTGGCCATCTGGCTGTCAGGCCTTCAGCGACAGGGCTGGTAAACACGGCAGGAGGGCCGCCTCCCTCCACGGCCCCAGGCTGCACACAGACCTGGAGCACTGTTCCTGATCCGATCAATGGGAAGAACTTGCGGGTGGAGGGGGGGCGGTGGGAAGGGCCCTGCGCTGGGACCCTTCTTCTCGGGAAGGGCACCTGCTGACCGGACACGTGGCTCTTGCCCACGGAGCTCAGGCCCCCTGATTCAGCCATCTGTCCCTTGGCTTCGCTCGCTCGGCGTGGCTGGAGCTCCGGGCCCTTCCCTCTGCACCCCGGAGGAAACGGCTCGGGGCGGGGGAGCGGCCGGTGACCGTGCTGCCCTCAGTCACAGCTGCTCACCTGCTTTGGCGTGGGCTGTGACCCCGTGGGGTGCTGCAGGACCCCGGGGCAGCCAGAGCAGCTGCTCAGCCGCTGTCTCCTTCTCCGTCTCTCCTTTCCGTGACACACACATTACCAAACACCCGGACAAAGCCCCACACCCGCTACTGACCCAGACTTCCCTCAGACTCCACGCGTATTTCCCGCACGGGAGGTCATTTCATCTTTATAACAATTCTTTGAAACAAGTAGTATCAACTACCCCCCCCATTTCAAAGATGGAGAAACTGAGACTTGATGGGGTAAAAACACTTACTCGTCACATTCATTTGTTCATCGATTCGCAGAAATAGTATTTACCGAGCATCTCCTAATGGTTTGTCTCAGTCCGGTCCCCCAGCTAAGCTGTGGCAGAGCCGGGGGCCTCCCCTCACCTTCCTCTGGTCCAGGGCTCAAGGCCCCCCTCTGGCCCTTCCAAGAGGAGGCCCCGCACCCCCGCTGTAACGGCCTGGTGCTCTGTCCCCGCAGGAGAGCGAGGATGCTGTCAAAGCCCTGGCTAAGGAGAAGGACCTGCTGGAGCGCGAGAAGTGGGAGCTGCGGCGCCAAGCCAAGGAGGCCACGGACCATGCCACGGCACTGCGCTCCCAGCTGGACCTCAAGGACAACCGGATGAAGGAGCTGGAGGCCGAACTGGCCATGGTGAGACCCCGCCCCACCTTCACGCAGCCAGGGCATCTGGGCTGCTAGAAGCCACATGACGCGCTGGGGACAGGGTGTGGGGACAGGTTCACCGGGAGTTCCCCGGTGGAGTCACACAGAACGGGCCGGGGAGGGGGTGCAGCTGGGTGCGGGGTCTGCGATGCTCTGTCAGCTTCCTTCCACATCGACCTCTGAGCCCAGGCCACAGCTCTCATCCACCTGCAGGGGCCGGGCGAGTGTGCTGGGAGCCCATCCTCCCTTCCACGCTCCCAGGCCACTGTCAACAAACAAAGCCCATTTTTGTTTAAAATACACATATTTGTTTAGGAAAACATTTGGGAGAAACACCAAAAAACTAACAGTGGTTATTTCTGGGTAGTAGGATTGCAAGAAATCTCCAGTGAAAATGTCTTACTTGGGTTGTCAAGGAAAAAATGTTATTTTTTTTTTCCAATCCAAAACAAACCTTCAAAGTAACTTCCAAATGCTGAGTTTTCCATGGAAGTGCCCAGCCTGCATGTGGGGACAGAGAGCCCAGGTGGTGTGTCCGGGCCTGGTGGAAGGGGTCCAGGGCCCTGGAGTCCTGCTCTGCCTGTTCCTGTGTGACCTTGGGCCACTTACGGAACTTCTCTGGGCTTCAATGCCCTTTATCTGGTACTGGAAGGGGGCGGGGGTCTTTACCTCACCCTGCCCTCCTAGGAGTTGGCCGGGAAACTCCAGGGAGCCCATGGCTTAAGGGGCCTTTGAAACCACCAGGGGCTCAATGTGACCGTGGCTGGGAGGAATGTGTGCAGGGTGCTCCTGAGGGGTGGGGGGGTGAGGGGGTCCCACGAAGCTCTTAGAACACAATGGCCTCCTGCAGAGAGCACGGATGCGGGCTAACCGTGTGGTGACAGCCATGGGTTCTGGGTTTGAATCCAGCCCCATGGCTTCCTAGCTGTGTGACCTCGGGTGGGACCCTTCACCTCTCAGAACCTGTTTCGTCAAGTCTAAATAGGGCTAACTGCATCTACTCCATAGGGCCTTTCTGAGAATTTCAGTGAAATAACGTGAGGGAAGCACTTCGCGTGGTGCTGTACGTAGTGATGATATGGTGACACAAACCTTCTCTGGGGTCACTTCTTCAGGATCGCGGGCCCCTCCTGGGTCTCCTGTCCAATGCTGACCCCTAGTGGTCAGAACTGCCCAGGCTGGAAGAAGCTGCAGCTGCGAGGTCCCCTCGAAGGGTGGGTGCTTTTCCCACCAGTGAGGTCGGTGGCTCTGGCCACCTGCAGCCCAGGGCAGAAACCTTTCCAACTGCAGACCTGGGAAGTTGGTGCAGGTCTTCCCAGTGCCCCATACGTAAATGGCCAGATGTGTCTTCCTGGCCTTGGAGCACTGGCCTCAAGCATTCTGGGGATTTCTGGGGTCTTTCAGAACTGGGAACCAGATCTCCTCTCTTTCTCCTCTCACCATGCTCAGACTGCTCAGCCTGCTTCCGTTCTGGCCAATGACACTCAGATCCTTGCCCTCTCCTCTGGCGGGCATCAGACCCCCTCTGCAAAGTATGAATAGTTATGGTGAGTGTTTGCAGCCTAGAGTATAGGCTTCTTATCCATCAGCGTGGCCGATGTCTGCCTAGGGCTCGGCGGCAGAGGGAGGGCCTTTGCTAAGATGCATGACAGCCCTGGTGTTGTTGGGGTGTTCACCAGACTGGAGGCTCCCTCTGTTGCCCGCCATCCGCAGAATTTCACACCCTGGAGGCTTCCAGAACTGCCTGCTCCAGGCAGCATTGACACTCGCCCCACTACCCTGCTGGCCAGGCCGAGACTAAAGGGAGGGCGCCATCCCTGGGTGTGTGCCTTATAGATGTGCCTCAGGTATGAGCCACAGAAAGCCGCTCTGGCTGGTTTAGCACATGGGATGTGCTGGAAGGGAAGTCAGGAGCTCACAGGTGCAGCGGGAAGGTGGAGGGCCAGACTTAGATGTGAGTCGAAGCCAAGGCAGCTGCAGAGGTGGGGAAGCCAGGGGAAGCCAGGGTTCTACACGGAGTGGTCTGTTCAGCGGCCCCTGTTGGGGAGGATGAACTTGAACCTGCCTCAGAATGGCACCCCAGGTTTTTTTTTTTTTTTACAAGTCCAGCACAGGGTAGCAAAATGGCCCATCTAGGGTCACTTGTTTACCACTTACCTAGGGGTCCTGGCTCTGGCCACTGGTGATGAGTCATTTCTTAAGTGACGCCGAGGTGCCATCAAGGAGATGGGAGCTGAGCTGGCAAATTCACACCCGCCTGTGACAGTAAAACCCTGGGAAGCAGCTGGGTGCCTGATGAGCATAGGTGGGTCCTGTCCCAATTTAGTCATCGCCCCTCCTTCCAGCCTCTGTGGGGGAGCTGGGCTCTGGGTCTCCACACACGCTGTGTGGCTCTAAAGGGCCTGCTTCCCTTGAGTAAATGCCAAAGACTTGGGCTTCCTAAGAAAGCAAAGCCCTCTCGGTGTTTGGTGGTGGCGGCACCCACGCTCCCACTCAGCTGCCTGCCCTTGTTGGGGGGAAGTGTTCCCGATTAACGACTCCTGGCCACACCAGGCATTACCACTCCTGGCACAGTTTCACCTCTGTAGCCACATTGGCTTCGGGGGACCACCCTGTGGGGTGTAGGTGTATATTTGTTAACATGTTCTTTTATGGAGATATAATTCACTTACCATAAAATTCGTCCTTTTTAAGATGTACGATTCAGTGGATTTTAGTATGCTCACAGAGCCGTGCAATCTTCACCAATCTAGTTCCAGAACAATTGCACTATCCTAAAAAGAAACTCATACCCATTAGCAGTCACTCCAGTGAGGCATATATTCCTGTTGTGCCCATTTTAGGGATGTGGAAACAGGCTCGGGGGGCAGGAGCTCACCCAGGGCTGCCCAGCAGGTGGAGTCAGGCAGGTCCTGTGCCCCATGATGTGGCGCCTTCGCTCGCGAGGTCTTTAAAAGGACGTCCGGCTGCTGGTCTGAAGGAGGCACCACCCCCAGCAGCCATGGCTTGTCCCTCAGGCCCTCCCCACTGGCCTCCACCACACAGAGGGGATGGGAGACAGGGCTGCTAGCCCCCGAGATCACGGGCTTCCCCGAAATGCTAGTCCTGCCAGGCCCCCTCCCCAAAAGCTTGGTTCATGCTGGCCTAGTTTTCTGTCAACGCTGCTTCTCCAAAACAGGAGACGTTTCTTCCACTGACTACACTGTAAATGGGGCTCCTCACCCTCGGCACTGTTGACCTTTGGGGTCAGGTAAGTTTGTTTTGGGGCCGGCCGGCGCAATGGAGGATGTCTAGCAGCTTCCCTGGCTTCTGCCCACTAGGTGTCAGGAACACCTCCCAGTTGGGAAAACCAAAAGTCTCGGGACGTTTCCCAGGGTTCCCTGGGGAGGTGGGTGGGGGCAGATTTCGCCCCAGTTGAGAACCAGTCTTCTGTAAAGTTGGATGTTTCTCAAGAGGGGAGCGTGGGACGGCCCCGTCTCAGCATCGGGCTGTGCCTGACGGAGTCCCAGTTGGGTCCCGCCATCTTCGGGCTGTGTGACCTCTGACGAGGCACTCAGCCTCTCTGAATCTCAGTTTCCACATATATGAAGTCAGGACTGTAAGACATTCCTCCTGGGGCCGTGGTGAGGTGAGGAGATGCTCAGTGAACGGCCGCTGTTGACCGGTGTTCCGCACCTAGCCCCACCTTGTCCTCGGCCCCACCAGGATGAGGAGGTGTGGATTCTCGGGTCCCTTCCACTAGCCAGTCACTGTGCGACCTCAAGTCACTTTTAACCTGCCTGGGCCTCCGTTTCCTTGTCTGTAAAAATGGCAGCCGCCACAGGCCCAGGCGAGAGTCAGGTGTGGTGAGGGCGGTTGAGAGGCAGGGTCAAGCCCCAGGGGGACGACAGGGGCGGCCAAGCTCTGGGTTGGTGCTGCGTCTGCCCTCATGCTGCGGAAACCCGCCTGCCACAAGCACCAGCTCCTGGCCCTGGACCAGACCTGCTCACAAACCTGCTCATGTCTTCAGCCTTTGGCCAGCGGAGACGTCCCCTGGACAAGCAGGAATGCCTTGAAAAGCTAGTGAAGGATTCCGCTGAGCCGCACTCCCAGCATCCATCGGGGGCCCAGGCTCACTGTCCAGTGCAGACTACTTCATGGCTGCCCATCAGCAGGCCTTCCAGGCAGTCAGGGAGGGAGGCCCAGGGCAAGGTTCAGCCCGCCTCCTGGATCTTCTCACCCTGTGTGTTTTGGGGGGGGGCATCAATGACCCCACCAACCCCCACAGCTGCGACTTACTGAGTAGGGCGACCGGCGTCCTGGGCCTTCGTGGGACCTAGTCCATGTCTTGTAGATGTTTTGTGATAAGTCACTAACCTTTATTGAGTATTTTCCCCATAGGCCAGGGCTCTCCATAGCAACCATGTGATCCCCCTCAGACAGATGAGGGCGTGGTGGCGCCGAGGGCTGAGGGACCTCACTCAGGATCCCCCCCACTGGGAAGGGGCGCAGCCGGGCTCAAATCTGGGCAGTCCGATTTCCAAGCCCAAACTCCAAAGCACTTTGCTGGGCTACTTTGTCACACAACTCCGGGTGGTGCTACTTACACAGAAATGATCCCTCTCCGTTCCCCATCCTACTCGTGAGGACCTTGCTCAAGGTCACACAGCAAGTTAAATAGCAGAAGTGGAGTTTGAACCCAATTCTGTCTGATTTCCGTCATGTGAGGGGGTTTGAGCCAATGTGCCACTATCCATTAGCTCCGAACTCCAGGCACAGAGCGCTCGGGAGAGGGGAGAGGCTCAGACGGAAGAGGGAGCCAGTGCTCAAGGGGAGCTCCCAGCATTAAAGCACATTCAGCGGCAGAGGTCAGCCAAAGAACGCGGTGTAGACTGCTACAGGAAGATGACCCGTTGTAGACTGGGCGTGCACGCACACACGCATGCCTCTATTTTAGGTTGACTCTACACACCTCTCCTGTACGTCTCGTCTCTGTTGTAGCTCCGTCATGAGTGGACCGTTTGTAAGGGTCCCTGTGCTTTAGAACTCAGAGGTACCACCACCCCATCCTGCAGGACTCACCGTAGGGGACCCCCCAGCTGTCAAGTAGCAATGATGTCAAGCTGCCTGCTGAGTTAGAAGGTGCCTCTCCCAGGCCCAGACAGAGCTGAGGCCCCACCTGGGAGAAGAAAGCCAGGTGGGGACAGAAGAGCAATCTCTATGGCTTCCCGCATAGGTGCCTGGGAACATGTGCAAGAGGGCAGAGCTGAGGGCTCATTAGCATGATGGCGGACTGACCTGGGGCTCGTTTCTCAACCCTGAGTCTGCCTTCCAGGCAGCCAAGTTGGATTGGGCAGGAGGAAGCAAGGGAGTAGGGCAGCTTAGTGCATGGAGTGGTAGCCAGATGGAGGGCCAGGAGGTCAGATGCACATGATTCGGTGCCGTGGTGGCCAGGAAACGGGAGTCTCCCGTGTTGCTGGGTTGCTGCAAGCCTATAGCAGCCCGACGACACCCCCAGCCTAGCCCTTTCCTTCAGCAGGATTGTTGCGTTGCTTTGGGGGCAAGTTAACAGAGCAGATTCCCTGAGCTGTCAGCCTGGACATAGCAGAGCCTGCTTCCGTTAATTCTGAGGATTTTTATTGATCACTGCATGTGCCCAGCTCCAAGCCAGGGCCTGCGGATTCCGTGGTGACCAGGCACACCCCATTCTTTGCTTCATGGATTCAGAGTCTGCATTACTTGTGCTGGTGATTTCATTGCCCCAGAGGAGTGTGGGTGCTGTAGAAACCACCGGGCTCATGGCCAGACTCCCAGGCTTGGGACCCACTTGAATGTTGTGCTTGCTGTGCATTTTTGAAGAAGTCACTTCTCTAAGCTTCAGGTTTCTCCTCCGTCAAGCACAGATAATCTTCCACTCCCCACTTGAGACCCAGGGCTGTTGCACTGAGCACATGATGGTTTTTCTAAACTGGAAGGGAGATTATTGGGGGATGGAACTGATACCTTCCAACTCAGCCCCCTTCTGCCATGGAGGGGGAGTCATTTCATAGACTTGGGGTGTCCAAGTTAGAGGGAACCCTAAAGATTGCTTGCTCTAGGGTTTTCATTTTACAGGTGGGGAAGCTGAGGCTCAGGAAGGCAGTGACTTTTCCTCCACTCTCATTCAAATCCCAGCTGGTCCTTGGAGAACCAGAAAGAATGGGTGATAAGTGTGTCCTTGGACACCCCCCCTTTCTCTTGTAACCCTGGTCTCACTTTGTGTTAGCAGGAACTAAGGGGTAACCCCAAGGTGAGTGCAATGCGATGCAGAGCCAGAGATCGCCTGGTACCAAGGTCGGATTCCTGGCTCTCTCACCATGGTGGGTCCTGGCCAAGCACCAGGCCAAGAGGTCGCCTCCATCACATTGTCTTTTTCTGTCTCCCGGCCCTCTCTCCAGGCCAAGCAGTCCTTAGCTACGCTGACCAAGGACGTCCCCAAGCGGCATTCACTCGCCATGCCGGGGGAGACGGTGCTCAACGGCAACCAGGAGTGGGTGGTGCAGGCCGACCTCCCGCTGACCGCGGCCATCCGGCAGAGCCAGCAAACTCTGTATCACTCACACACCCCCCACCCTGCAGACCGGCAAGGTGAGTCCTGCCCCCAGCCTGGCCCCGCCCTGGCTGTGGGGGCTTCTTAGGAGCCGCTGACCTCCCCAGTGGGGGAAGCAGCCCCTCTCTTCCCACTGTGGCTGCTTAGGGGGGTTGTGGGGCAGAGACCACAGGCTTGTGTAACTGAGAAGCCCCAGAGATGGACTTCAGGCACAGCTGGATCTCGAGGGCCGGACAGTATCGGGGTGTGTCCACCTCTCTGTCTCAGCCCCGCCTGCCTCCCTTTGGCCTCTTCTTTAGGCTGTCTCTTTCCACAAAGCAGCAAAACAGTCTCCAGCAAGTTCAGGCTTTTAAGGTCTTAAAGCGCAAAAGTCGGGAGAAAGAAAAACTATCGCTTTCTCTGTTTAGAGTAAATCCCAAAGAAGGACTCTGATTGGCTCTGATTGGCTAGGCTGGGTCACATGCCCCCCCCCCCCCCCCCCCGGACCAATGACTGTGTCTAGGGAGTGCTGCATGGATTCTCCAGCCTGGGTCTCGGGATCCTTGGCAGCGGGGACCCCAGAGCGCCTTGATTAACAGCGCCACGCGGTCACGGGATGTGTGGGAGGGCCACCGAACACGTGTTCGCTCCCGGCACTGGCAGGGGGCAGGGTGCAGCCTCCGGGCAGCATCCGACCCACGGGCCATGCTACACGTGAGCAGCTGCCTTTGTGTGCCACGTGCAGGTGCTGCCCTCACCTAGCTGGGAACCCCAGTCCCGGACTGCAGAGCCCATTCGTTGCCCATCCCTCTCCCGCGCCACCCCCACCGCGGCGTTAAACCCTATGGCCGATTACTACAGCCCCACCTGCTCACATGCTGCCTGCATACAGTAGGTCCTGAGGCAGTCTTGCTGAGCCTTAAGTGCTGCCTCCAGCCAGCACCTGCAGCCAGGAGGGCAGTCTGGTGGGGGGCCTTCTGAGCTCAGCCGTCCATTCCACCACTACGGATGGAGCACCTGCTCCATGCCAGGCACCGTGAGCTCTAGAGGTCACCATGGGTAAGACACCCAGCGTGCCTGCCCTCATGGAGCAGACACTGTAGGAGAGAAGACAGACAACCTGGTGTAACTGAGCTGACAAACAGAATGGTGATAGATGGTAGTTAGCACAGGGAGGGAAATCAACAGAAGACAATCTTTGGTGGGGAAAAGTGTGGGGAGAGCTGATAACCGGGGGAGGCCTCTCTCAGGACAGGCTGAGAGACCTGGATGATGAGAATGTACCCGATGAGCAGCAGGACCCGCAAAGGCCGGGGCAGAAGGGAAATGGCCCACGTCAGGCACTGTCAGAAAGCCGGTGTGACCGTGAGCCGAGGCTGGTAGGTGGGCAGAGCCATGTCCCTTTGGGCCTTGAGGGTTTTTACCCCCAACATGACCAAATGCCTGGCTTTGCTGCAGTGTGAGGAGCGGAGTCAGGGAGGCCTGCTGGGAGGCTGCATGGTCTTCCAGGCAAGAGACAGCAGTGGCTTTGACTCGGGTAGTGGCAGTGGGGTTGGAAACAAGTGGACAGATTTGGGGGTAGTGTTGGGGTTGGAGAGAAGTGGATGGACTTGGGGTTGTGTTTGGGGTTGGAGAGAAGTGGATGGATTTGGGGATTGTGTTTGGGGTTAGAAGTGGACATATTTGGGGGTAGTGTTGGGGTTGGAGAGAAGTGGATGGACTTGGGGTTGGAGAGAAGTGGATGGATTTGGAGGGTTGTGCTGAGGATGACTGGGTGTGGGGTGTGAGGGAAAGAGGAGATCTGGCCGTGGCCTCCAGGCTTCTCACTAAGGAAGTTGGTGTTGACTGGTGATTAGGATTGTTCCGGATCCAGGGAACATCCAGGTGATAGGAGCCTTGTGAGGACAGTCACGAAGGTCCCTGGAAACTCCTGCCTCTTCTCCTTCACTGTGGTTAGGAGAGGGCCTAATTGGATCCAGAGGCCAGGGGCAGTCCTTCCCAGCAGCTGCTCTCTGGAGACGTGTGGGTCTGCGGAACGGAGGGGCAGAGGGCTAGGCAGTCCCTTCTCTGTGTCTCAGCATTCTCATCTGGATAATGGGGCGTAGGGTGGCCTGGCTGCAGGTCAGCACAGGCAGGGACGTTCTTGCCACCCCTCACTTACCGGCTGTCCCTGCTTTCCAGCGGTCAGGGTGAGCCCCTGCCACTCCCGGCAGCCGTCTGTCATCTCCGATGCGTCTGCCGCCGAAGGAGACCGGTCATCCACGCCCAGCGACATCAACTCCCCTCGACACCGGACACACTCCCTCTGCAACGTAAGGCCAGCAGCAGCGGGGCCGGGGCCAAGGGCCCCGCCTGGAAACTGCAGGGGGGCGGGGTGGAGGGTGAAGACCTACCCGCTGTTTCCTCTCGTCCACCCAGGGAGCACTGTGGCGAAGGCATTTCCTGGTCTGTTCTTTTTGCAAGAAGAGATGGATGTGGGGCGAGAAAGGAAGGAGGCCTGTTTGCTCCTTGTGTCCGGGAGGGCAAGAAAAACCCAGAGGAAGGCAGGCCTGGGTCGGCTCAGGCTCTGCACAGCTCAGGACTACCTCTGGCGGGGTCCCTGCGTCTGGGACGGTGGGCTTCTCCCAGCTGTGACCTTCCAGAGCCCAGGGCCTTCCCAGTATTTCATTTCCCCGTAGAGCCAGCTCTCAGTCCTTCTTCCAGGAATGAGCCAGATTTTTTTTTTTCTTAATTTTCCAGGAGTTTGGGCAAATATTTCCTCTTCAGAGGCATCCCATGAATTTGTTCTGTTTTTTCACTTTGCTTATTTAATCACACACTTTTTGATGGCATGCTGGGCGCCAGCTACCAAGAGGTGCAGGTCCCTAGCCACCTAACTCTTGGTGACTGGCAGAGCCTTCAGTCGGGCTCCCAAGGAGTGAGGGCACGAAGGTGGGTCAGGCACCTGAGGACGGGAGGACGCCATGCCATGTTGAGGCTCCAACAAGAAACACTGGGGAGCGGGCTTTGGAGGCCACTGTATGGTTTTGTTCTGTCCCACAGCTGTTAATATGGAGGGTTCCCCTGCCATGTAGACAGTGATACCATGGAGTTAGGTCTTCGAGTGCGTGAGAAAGCTTTCTCAAAAACTCAGCTAATGTTGTATTAACCAGCATGATTGATAATATAAAAGAAAGGAGGTGAATATAGTGGGAAAGAAAGACAAAATAACTCCTATGTGCCAATGATATGATACCTACCTGGAAACTCAAGAGAATAACCTGTAAAACTATTAGGACCAATAATGACCAAGGACATGAACGGTACTGGTTGAAAATCAGTGTATAATAATCAGTAACTTTTCTATATATGAATAACCATAAGGGAAACGTTTTTTCCCGTCTACAATAACCATGAAAAGTAGCTAAAGACTATTAATAAAAATAGCAAAGACTGAACTTAAAAATTAGTTGCCTTCGCCTGGTGACGTGGGCAACAGGGATCGCTGGCCCAGGGCCTTATCCTGCCCAGTCGGGATGCGGAGAAGGCCGCTCCAGGCCTGAAACCCACTCAAGGCTGGGATTCTTTTTCAACTTCCTTAAAGCAGTTTGTTCTTCACCAGTGCTCAGAACAGAACCCCTGTGACAGAGGCTGTCTTGAATGACAGAACCAGGGCGAGGACGGGGGCCACTGGAGGGCCTCTGACAGCTGTCCCCTGGTTCTCAGGGCCCACTGTTGAGCTGAACCTACAGCCGACAATGCCCTCCTTGTTAGCATGGGCTGGAGACCTAGAGGAGCCACGCACACCCTAAATGAGAAGACCTTCCCAGGGGCCAGATTTTCCCTTCTCATGGTGGGCCCAAGGGGGCTCGGAGAGCCAAAATACTGCTGGAAAGTCCGTTCTGCAGAAAGGTTCTCTAAAGGCCTCTTGAATTGCATTTGGCCTAGCCTCTTGCCTAACTTGGCCTTGGCACATTTCAGCAGCTACAGGCAGCAGGTACACATGATTATTTCCAAGATCACCTTACACAGGGCCCTGCTGCCACGACCTGGGTGCTTTCATAAGCCTGTTGCCTGCAGACAGCCATTCCACTGGGCACTGGCCTCATTCTCTTCCCCATGAATTTGGCAAAGATGGCCCTGCCCAGAGTAGACTAGACCTGTCTTAGCTGCCTGCCAGATGGGTTCTGTTTGCAAACCTTGGGATGGGACTAAAAACTAAACTACCATTTGTTCCATCCTTGCCCTCCCTCAGCCACCTTCATCCCCCATTTCAACAGATGGGCACACAGGTAAGCCAAGAAGAGCCTGGAAAAAGCAGAAGGTAACCCTCTGTTCTCAGGCCTTTGACCTGGCACAGCAGGTCCGAACAGCCCAGGCTGGACTAAGGACCTGTCCATCTTATTCTCTGGCCACTAGTTTAGAGCAGAGGTCAGGACTAAGTGTAGGGAAGTTGGAGAAGATGGATGGACTTGGGCCCAAGTGACAGACTTTGTTTTTTTTCCATGGCTTTTTTGCCTGCAATTCTGGAAACAACCATCAGGGGCCTCCCTTGTAATGACTTGTGATCCCAATGATCTGTTTGCCCCCCAGGCAGTGCAGCCAGATTCTGGGATGTAGTGAAGGCTTTTGCACACCCACCTTTGCATGCCCACCGAAAGGAGCACTGGACCGGGAAGAAACAGCCCCAAATCGGAGTTGTAGAGCTGTACTATTAGTTCTATCACGTTGGATTGCCTGGAGCCTCTCTCTATCTGTAAATCAGGCCCATGAGGCCTGCCTACCCCTCCACAAAATGAGAGATGCATTGAATTGTTTGTGGGGGAAATTAGAAGCTACGTAGTCTCCCGAGTCTTCCTGTCCTGAAATTCTTTATTTTTGTGCCTTTTTTCTTTAAAATTGTATTTCTTTATGAGCAACACCAAGTATAACCAATCTCCAGTTCCAACTTGATGGACCACTTGGAACAGGATCTTAGAAGCCTTCAGTGACTGATTTGTTGGTCAGAGGGTGTTGGGGGTCAAGAGGTCTGAGCAGGCAGGAGAGCACCCCAGGACCCCTGGTCCAGGCAGCATCTCAAACCCCAGGTGCCATTGTTGAGCTGTCTGGGAGTGTTTGCTTCAGGGGTGGGGGTGGGTTCCCCAGTACAGAGGTAAGGTGGTCCCTAAGAGATGGCTTCCTTCCATGGAAGACCCCACTCTCCATGGGCCACCTCTGCTCCCATGTGTTGTGTGTCCCTGCTGTTTCATTTCCCCCCTCTGTTTTGGCTACAGGGCGACAGTCCCGGCCCAGTACAGAAGAACCTGCACAACCCTATTGTACAGGTAGGTGTCCTCCCCTGGCCACTTGGGCCCTCCCATCACCCCATTGTGACCATGACTCCCCCCTGCCCCTTGCTCCCTTGGGCTCTCAGCATCTCCACTTCCATACTTGGGACACCCAAGGCAGAGAGGAGTTAAGCCACTGCCTCAGTCAGGCATGGTTTGGTGCCTGAGCCGGGCTCGTACCTGGTTTGTCCTTCCCTGTCCTCTTTCCAATCTGTGGACCCATTAAGTGCATCACACATCTTCCATCCTACTGCCCTGGTGAGTATCTTCTGGCAGCCAAAGGCTGATGACCCAGGCCATAGGCTCTTTTGGCCCCTTGCTGCAGGAAACTGTTCTTTATTCATTTTTAACATTTCAGTACCCTGTCATCAGGGTGAGGAGGGACCACAAGGAGGAAAACAGTAATTGAGAGTCAGAAGGGGGTCTCTGAGACGAGCGGTCTAGTCCTGGGGTTCCCAGATGCTGGTCTAGGCACTGCGCATCTGCATCAGGGTCCACCAGGAAAGACTTTTCAAATGCAGATTCCTGGGCCTTTAACCCTGATTCTGATCCACCAGCTATGGGGTGGGGCCTGGAATTCAGATAATTCTGATGTGTTTTGGGAACCATTAGTCTGACCTTCACCTTTTGGTTGGAGAACACTACCCCGTGTCTTTGATTGTAAAGCCCCCCTGTAGACACCACCCTCAGGCCCTTAGTTATCTAGACAGGAGCCTATGCCCATCCCCACTCTTGTCTCCTCAGAGAGGCCGGAGAAGCTCCAAGAGTCCACGGCTAGTGACATAATTAGGACTAGAACCCAGGCCCTAGCCGCCCCCCGTTCCCCGCTCTACCGTGACCAGTCCTGCCTCTTATCCAGGGCCTTAAAGTCTGGGGTCCTTGCTCTTGGATGGCACAAAGCTCAGGGTTCTCCTTCCTCATTTTCTGGGCTCCCCTGGGGTCCCCTTTTTCCCACAGGGACTTTTCCACAGGAAATTTGTACCCTTGCTGCAGGGTCCCCGCAGACAAGGGACTGAGCCAGAGCCCGGTGCGCAGAGGCGCTCCTGCAGGCCCTGGGGAAGCACCCCAGGGCTGTGGGCAAGCTGAATTTAAGTGACAGTGGCAAGTACAGCAGCAGCTGGGGGTTACCGCGGGGTTATGATGCCCAGGCACTGCTGTGAGCGTGGTTGTCCCCGCTGACACCCTCACGACTGCCTTGCATGGGTCCCACTGTTGTCCCGGAGAGCTTCCACAACGGGCCCAAGTCGGCTCCGCAAACGAGGGGTGGGGGAGGCAGACCCTGGCCTCTTACGCACCGGTGGCCCCGCTCCCTCACCCACCGGCTGACCCTGTCCCCTCCACCGTCCCGCGTGCCCTGCACCCAGCTCACGTGGCTTTGTTCTTCTCCCTCCACCCCCGCTGCCCGGCCCGACTCCTCAGTCACTAGAGGATCTTGAAGACCAGAAACGGAAAAAGAAGAAAGAGAAGATGGGATTCGGCTCCATCTCGCGCGTCTTCGCCAGAGGGAAGCAGCGGAAGTCCCTCGACCCCGGCCTCTTTGATGGTACCGCCCCTGATTATTACATAGAGGAGGACGCGGACTGGTGATACCCGCCTCCCTTCGCCTGCCGCGCGCAGGCGTGTCTGTGCGTGTGGACGTGCGTGCGAGCGCGGGGCGGGGGGTGCGGGGGCGCGGCGGGGCGTGCGTGGCGGGGCGTGTGTGTGCGCGCGCGCTCCCGCGCACGTGGGTGCTGGGCGTGGCCGAGCGCGGGCCCCGCCCCCTGCGGCGCCGCCTCTGTAATTGATGTACATACTCCAACCGTGTGTGACTCTGTCAACCCTCTGTTGTCCTCAGAGCGATACAGTTGTGTTGTTAATCTGGGTTTGTTTCTGTTTTTGTTTCTTTTCCGTGTCTTTTTTTTTCTTTTTGTTCGGTTCGTTGGGTTTTTTTTCCCCACCTCCCCCTTTCCCCTCCCCTCCTTTTTATGAAACTTGAAAACTTGAAGGACTGCTGTGTATTTGTAAATAACAAAACTATTGTGCACTCCGTGCTTGTAAATGTCCCTTGTCCAAACTGCTACTTCTGGAGCCCGTCTGCCCAAGGATGTGGTCTGTTTTTGATTGCCGCACCCCGCCGCCGCCCCCCCGCCCCGGTGTGAACGCACGGGACCAGACCCTGTCCCCCACCCCCCCCCACCCCCGGGGCGCCCGAGTCACTTTAAGCGCAAGCTGCCCACGTGGTCAGGGTAAGGTCCGCCCCCCGCCAAGACCCGCGAGCCCGGCCAGGCCGGGCCTTGCCTCGGCTGGGGCGTGCCAGAGGTCAAACGGGCTCTTTTTAACGGCCTGCCAGTTTTTAAGTTGCGTTGCCGTTTCTTTATGGGAAAAAAAGAAAAAAAAAGAAAATTGTTCCGTTTAATTTATTTGCACAAATGCAGAAGATTTATTCTATCTAAATTATTACATAAATATTGGAATGTATATTTTTCCATGGGGTGGGCGGGAGGCGGGTGTTTCTGTTGACTTGTCTGTTCTATTATCATGCTGCTGCCAAACTGTGCAAGGTAGACTTTAGGGGTGGCCAGAACCCAGGGACCATTGGATTTCAAAGCTTGCTTTTTTCCGTTCTTTCTTCTCTTTCTCTCTTTCCCCCATTTTTCCACTCCTGCATGGAAGTGCACTCCACCTTTCTCTCCCCCCTCCCCATAGATCCTCTCCAGGCCTTTATATATCTATTTATTTATCTTAAATAAGGAACACTGACCTCAGTGAGCGGAGGGTCACCTTCTCTTGGGTCTGTCTTTTGAGGGAGGTTGAGCACAGAGTGAGACAGCCAATCACATGACCACAGGGTATAGCCACAGGGACCCTCGGCCTGAGTCGGTGCCATGAGGGTCCTCGAGAGGCATAGGTTCTTCCTGCAGCCGTGTCTTTCTCATCCTTGGTTATTCTGCATGTCGGCCAGACAGGTATCACTGGGGGAGGTGCCCATCTCAAGGGGAGGGCTATTGGGGACACAGTGTCCAGCACCAGAGCCTCTCTGCCCTCCCCATTCTGGTTGGTTCCTCCAGTCACACTCAACAGAATCTCTCAGGATCCCTCGGGCCCTGTCCTCCACCCCTGTCACAACAGCCTGAGCCTGTTCACCCTAGGAGTGAAAGGCTGGCAGGAACATCTATCTGCCTATTTGGGGAGCAGTGTCGGCCCCAGTGAGGCTTCACCAGCAAAGGAACCGTGTGCATTGTAACGCCGGGTGATGGAGATCACGTGAGCTTCTAAGCCAGAGCCTCCTAAGGCCTAAAACTAGCTTTCCCTTTTCTTTTGACCTGTGAATTCTGCCCCCCAACTCCACCTTAACTACTAACACAGCTCAATTCACCCACCCTCTGCACAATAGTAGTTGCGCTTTCTGCTAACAGTAACATTTTTCAGCTCTTAATAAGAAAGGAGATTTGAAAGTGCTGGAGAGTCTCTATCAGAAGGATAGGGTATTTTGTCCAAAGTCTCTAAAACAAACAAAAAAAACACCAGTAGGCTGTTCCCTTTCCCTCTGACTTGGTGGGGTGGTTGGGCAGGAGAAGGCAGGGTACCCTGCCTAATAAGGATCTTTCTGGCCTCCTTGGGCTAAGCTGTTCAACCGAGCCTGGCGGTGAGGGAGAGCGGCCAGACCTGGCATCTTTCTCTACGGAGAGAGATTTTAGAAAATACTTTTCTCCCCCATGAATTTTTTTTTTCTTTTGGTTTTTATTGTTTGCCCTTTACTTATGAAAAAATAAGATTGCAACCACTCCTGGTAACGATTTAGTAGTTCCTTTTCATTTCAGTTTTTGTAAATTAGGAGATAAATCTAAGAGTTACTAAGGATGATTTATTTAAGAGAACTACGTCAAATAGCGAATGAGTAATGGGTAAATTAGATGAAAATAACTTTTCCCATGGGAAAGGTTTCTCGAAGGCATGGATGCAAATATAAAATACAAAAAAAAAAATCTAAATAAAGCTTATTTTAAAATATTATTGAATTCTATGTTATTTGATTGCTTCTATCTTGCTCCGGGTGGGAGGCAAAGCCCGTGCATGACCTGCTCCTTGGAATTCCAGGGCTGGGTCCAGAGGAGCTGAGAAAGCTGGCTGAATTTTGGGCCCGTGGCGGGGCTGAGGCCAGGGTGGCCTCCCAGAAACCTCTCACCTTGGCCGCCCCGACTGTAATTTGGAGGAGCTGTCCGCATCCAGGGCTGCCTGTGGTCCTAATGCACCACCTCCAAGCCTGGCTCCCTGGCCCTGCATTGGCCAGCTCAGCAGCCCCAGTCAGCTTTCATCTGCTTCCCTCTCCCCCCCGGCACTCCTTCCAAAGGCCCAGAAAGTGCGCCTGTGAGTTTGGGGCATGTTACTTCCTGCAGACCTCACTGGGCCTCTGCATCGTCCCAACATCCCACCTTCCCTGGGGACAGAGAGGAGCTTAAGAAAGAAATCGAGGGAGCCATAGGGCTTTCCTGATAAAGTTTGTGTGGGCCAGGCTTTTTCGAGTCCCATGAGATCCCCCGGATGCAAAGCCCTGGGCCTCCCCCCAGTGAAACTCCACTTGTGACCCAAGAAGAGGTCACCCTGCCTACCCCAATCCCTGATTGTGGCCAGCACCCTCCACCTCTGCCTCACAACTTAAAGACAAATCATCTCCGGCAATAAAACTGATGGCAGACTGGCCTTTTAACTCCCCTGTCATTTCTGCTGGAAGAAAGCTCAAAGCTCCGTGATCTGTAGACCATGCCAAGGAGTTGTAGAGCTCAGGACTGCGAGGAAACTTAGGGACATCTACCCCTGCAGTTCTCAACCCAGCCACATGTTAGAATCACCTGCAGAGCTTTTGAAAACAGTTACCAAGACCAGACCACAGCCCTGAATCAGAGCGTAGTTAAACCTTCTCTGGTGACGCTAAGGTGTAGCGAGCATTGAGAACCACGGGGCTAATCTGAGGCTGGCAAATGGCCCAAGCACACATACCACTGCTCTCCTCTACCTGGCCTCATGCAGACATCACCAATCGATTGAAGAGCCCTTCCTACCCAGCCCAAAGTGGCTCTGATGTCTTCACTTTACAAAGCCTCAGACAGCCACTGTCAATCAGTCAGAGTTGGTATACAAGGAGAAAGCCCATTTGCCAACCTGAAACTAGCCCAACCACCCCACCCCCACTGGACAGATGGGGAACACTTTGGCCCAGAGCCCAGTGACTTGGCCAAGATCCTAACTGTCGTGTAACCTTTTCAAGGACTGGGCCATACCTATTCAAATCCTCATAGCTCTACTCAAAAATCATACTACCTCCTTTATGTTCTTTGAGACCTTGCCCCAGATGGCCCAACTTCAAGTGGTACCTATTAGAAATTGAAGTAGGGATGCCCAGGGGCCAGTGTACAGACCCACAGGTTGTGCACTGTACTACTCCAGAAGGCACTCCTGTGTAAATGGTGCCCTGAGTTGTACAGTGCACAACCTGCACAGCTGTACTCAGTGGCCCTTCTGTGTGTTCTCCCACCCATGCTGGCAGGCTCCAACAGATGTAACCTAGTAACATAATAACAATAATAATATCTAACATTTATTAAGCACTTACCATGGGCCACAGTCCGTGCTGAGCACTTTACATGCATTAACTCAGTTAACCCTCCAACAACCTGTATTTTTGGTGAGAAAACTCAGGTTAAGTAAATCATCCAGGGTCAAGAAGCTAGTAAACAGTAGAGCTGAACTTCAAACCTAGGGAGCCCGTAGTGCCCTGACCACCATCTGGGCAGTGAGGGGGTGGCCCCGGGCAGGGGACATCATGGAGGCCTCAGCAGGGCCAGGTTTACGCCTCAGGCACCCTTAGCCTCCGGCACAGCCTAGCACTTCCTTGCTGGTGTGACTGCATCTATTCCATCAATTCTGTCAGCCTTTTATCTGCCGGCCCAGGAAACCCACCCCCAGGGAGGGACTCGGGAGGGCAGAGTAGAAACGAGCTGCTGGCCTGCACTAGCCGTTTGGGGCAGAGGTTTGCCTCTTCTTGCCCTGCTGTGGGGCCCCTCCCCGCACCAGAGCGGCTGGGTTCTCAGCGTCAGCTCCCCCCCCGACAGGAAGTGAGGGTCCCATCTGGGGACCCGGGAGCCGTCCCACACCAGTGCCTGGTGAGACTCACAGTGCGGTGGGGCTGTAACCTAGGAGGTCACCAGCCAGCTCACCAACTTGCATTGTAAAATATCTGCAGGGCCTCTCACCAAAACCTGCCTTTTCACAGAACCGGCCTCACAAACACCCCCCCCCCGTCCCCCACCCAGCCCATCTGCTCTGAACAAATGGCTCTTAAGTTTTTTCAGTTCAAACCCCACTAGGTGGGGCCAAAGCTGCCATTGTCCCCCACCTCCCACCTGTTCCCGTATTCGAGTGGAAAAAAACTAAAAGAACTTGGTGGCCATAAAGAATCAAGAGGGAATACATGTCATTAACCTTATCTTATAAAAGGATCCGTAATTTTATATTCTAAAAGAATGCCCTATAAACATAAAAATAACTTAGGAGTTTGGTCTTGGC